ATAAGAACTAGTCACGTGGCCCCACTTAGATGCAAGGGATGCTGGGAAGTATAGTCCCTGGCTGCTTTGTTTCTTACCAGGGATAGTACTATTCTGTGTAAGGGAGAGCACCAGTACTGGGTTGGCCAAAAAGTTCGTTTGGGTTTTTCCATAAGCTCTTATGGAAAAAGCAGAAGAAACTTTTTGGCCAACCCAATATTTTGGTGGCTAGTTAGTTGTCTCTGCTATGCCATGACTGGCTGAGACCAGAGCCGTCCAATGGAAATATAGTGGGATCCACATTTGTCATTTTCAATTTTCAAGTAGAGGGCCTGGGAAGAGAGGAGCAATAAATATTTTGACTGTATTATTATGAAATCTACCACAGGGTCCATTATGTTCTCTTTCCCTACCAGTCTAAGGGAGAGTGAAAATTGGTGTGAACATTTAAGAAGAAGTTGTGGAGTACCTAACAAATATGGAGTTAAACAAAGCAAATTTATCAGGCAGATGAAAGGTTTGAGAGCTCAGTGACTTTTGAACTGGTGTCTGGGTTGTGCCGGGACACAAAACCAGACCTGCTTATGGTAGAAAAGATATGTGAACTGAATCCATCAAGGATCTGGGCAAGAGCTTCCGGGGGAACACTAAAGATTTAAATAAGGTGAGTAATGAACTTTTAAACAATTAATCTTATTTTGCAGTAAGATTAAGTTTTAAACCTAACCTCACCATTCCTTTTTTGCCTTGCATCAATGTAGGTAGTTCACATCAATCAAAAAAAGTTTTTTTCAAAATAATTGCTGACTTGTGACACCTTGTTTTAAAACCACAAATATTGTATTGCTTTCAGAACCGGGGCCAAGCTGCTTCACATATTGCATTACAAAAGAGTTCATCAGAAATAATTTATGGAACCAGAGGGCTGGTAGCAGCTACCAAATCTTGCTTAGGAATTTGTCCTCCATCTCAGTAGGAAAACAGACATAAAGGCAGTGACTAGAATGAGCAAAAAGGAATCTGCAGCATAAGCCTGTCTAAAAACATTTTCTTCCAAATAATATAAATCATTTCTGTCTGTGCTCCACTGTTGACAAAGCCCTTTAAAAAGTAAAGGTAAGGAAAGGACAGTGACCACAAAAAAGTGCCTGTATCATGGGATGGAAGAAAAAGAGGAGGGATCAGGGCCAGCTAAGCATTATACATCAAATTTCACTGACAGTATTAAGCAACATAGCCAAAGTCAGATACTTAAGGAAAGAGAAAATTCACCTGGTCTGTCAGTCCTGACTTATAAACACTAATGTAGATGCTGAAGCCATGACCAACACAATACAAACCATCTAGACAAAAACTATGAGAAAAATCTGGGCCAACAGCATTGTCAAGGGATGAGAAAGCTATTCGTCCTACTTCTTCCTAATTATCTTATTCTCACATCAGCATTTAAAAAAGAAGGCTATACAGAAGGATGGCTGGAGATACATATCAGGGCAGCTGGCAGGTTTCCCCAGAAAACAGTGTCCCTCCAAAAAATGACAATAGGCACTTGATCTAAGTCTGTATCAAAGCATGATATTCATTCTCTCTCTCTCTTGCTCTTTTAATATGACTTTTTTTTCTGGTTTAAGAATTAGTAGTTTAAAAACTACTCAATTTTATCAAGTCTCTATGTCCATCTTCTGGTTTACAGGAAATACAAGCCATAGAGAAGTGGTTCTCAAACTTGAGCATGCTTCAGAATCTCCTGGAGGGCTTGTTGAAACTATGCTGGGCCCCACCCCCAGAATTTCTGATTCAGCTTTAAAGCAGAAGCTTTAAGATCCAATGTATGGTCCCACTGTTGCTCCTTTTCTTCTGGTATGACACCAGTAATGTCTCAGATAGCATCAATTTCTTCACCCTGGGTCCCAGACAGAAGAACCAAAGCTGACCCATGATGGACTTGAAATATAAGTGAAAAATAAGCATTCGTTGCTATAAGCCACTGAGATTTGGGGTTTGTTATCATAGCGTAATTTATTCTTACTAATATAGAGCCCTTGTATTAAGCATACTTGGCATTCTAGAGCAGGTTTGGCTTTGCATGAAAATCAAAGAAAAAATAAATGGAAAGGCAGATAATATTTCATTTCTCTTAGGCTTGTTCTGCCTCTGTATGTGTGTGTGCTATTCATATACATAATCAAGAGCTATGAAACCTTATGCAAACTACTTAACCTCTCTGTCCACAGAAGCAGCATGTAGGGCGAGGGCCATCTCCTTGTGCTTATTATTAACCAGTAATAAGTCTGAACAAAAATCACCTTGTTCAAAGATGAATCAAGAGAATGTATTGATATATATATATATATATATATATATATATATTTTGTATACTTCATTATATATGTGTGTGTATGTATGTGTGTGTATATATATATATATATATATATATATATATATTTGTGAAATATAAAACCTAATCGTGGAAGAGAAAGAAGAGCATACTTATGAAAATGAATGACTACGGAATCCAAAAGAGGAATTTTATGACCGGTTTACCATCCTTTTGCAAGAAGGTAGGCTTTCTATAAAACCAGAACAGAAATTCATAAGGAAATGAAACGGTGAGATGGAAAGTCAATAGGATGAGTTGAAAGAGAAGGATGGGGTGGGGGGGAGAGAAGGAAATGACGGAAGGAAACAAAATTATCAATAATAGAAATTGAGTAAAAACAGAGGCAGAAATAATGCTTTTGGAAATCTTATCGGTAACATTGAAAGCAGATTGGAGGTCTACCAGAATGCTGAAAAACGGTAAACAGATGAAAACGATAAAACCGATGTTTACCACAAATAATTGCTCTTCCTAAAAGAGAGACCAGAACAAATGGAGCAAAAACAATTCTTGAAAGTAGAATGGAAGAAAACCTTCCTGAACTGAAGCAGATTAAAAGGCCCCACACCTTTTAACCAGACAGAAGGGATAATATGTGCAATGGAGTATTCATCTTAAACAGCAAACATTTCAGTATAGCCAGGGCATTGAGCGCAAAGAGGAGAGAAGTTAGAGAGGTAAGTATGAACCAGATAATCAAAGGCCTCATGTACTATGCTGGGGAATTTCTCTCTGCAAAACAGGAAGCAAAAATCATGTATGAAGAGAGGGAAATGATCACTGGTATGGGGCTTAAAGAGAGTGGTAAGGGTTAGTAACAGCAATTACTGGAAATGAGAGTGGTCACATAAAAGGATTCCTAAGAGGCACCAAGGCTGTCCACTGCAGTGAGTCTCCATAAATTTGTAGTGGTATCATTCTATTATAGTTGTGTGGCTTTTTCCTCCCAAGTAGTGCTTGGAAACATAGACGTGGGTATGGAAAATGCAGATAACTGGAATGGTTCAAGGTGGTGGTTTGATGTTGGGACGTATCAAAGGGCAATTCAAGGGGCTCTGCCTACAAGAGTGGTTGAAGTCAAAGGCCATGGGCTTCAGTCAGGTAGAAGGTTCAGGGGATGTGAGAGCTCTGTGGTTTTTGAAGAACAAGTATATTGGGACTAAGGGAGAGATAGGACTACGAGGATGAGGATTGAGTCCAAATAAATGGGGTTGGTAAACTTAAGGTTTTAGCCATGAAGCAGTATAAAGTGATGGATGTCTAGATTTTATAGAATGGGTACCTGGGAATGTGTGGATTAAGTAGAGGTAAAGTCATTTGGACCGAGGAAGTTAAGGAAACATGGCTTAGTCATGGGTGTTGGTTTCATCAGGATGATGGCAGTAATTCAGATGGAGAGGAAAACTAATGCAGTCAGTAGACGACAGTGACAAGGGAGGGTAGAAGGTCCACCAGATGGGGTGGACCCTGAAAGAGAAATCTTGCAAGGGGTAAAAAGAACATCAAAGTGTCAAGTGAGAAAGCTCCAAGAGTGAGGATATGCTACCTTTGGGGTGATGGATGGAGTGTGGGAGGAGAGAAATCAAAAGAGCAGGTAAGGGCTTCCCTGGTGGCGCAGTGGTTGAGAGTCCGCCTGCCAATGCAGGGGACGCGGGTTCGTGCCCCGGTCCGGGAAGATCCCACATGCCGCGGAGCGGCTGGGCCCGTGAGCCATGGCCACTGAGCCTGCACGTCCGGAGCCTGTGCTCCACAGCAGGAGAGGCCACAGCAGTGAGAGGCCCGCGTACCAAAAAAAAAAAAAAAAAGAGCAGGTAAAAATGAGTATTTTGAATTGCACGGTGGAGGGATGTTGGTACCATTAACCTATTTGGGAGGTACAGAGGGGAGGTTTTGTTTTCTGGGTACAAGCTTGATTTGAGGCCATGGGGAATAGTTAGAGATTGAGTAGGCAGGAGAGAGGCCACAGCCTTGCTGGTTCAGATAGGCTGGCTCTGGAAGGGCTTTGAGGGACAAGCCAGGGGCTGGAAGGCTGTGGCTTATCTGCTCCGCTCATCTGCACAACGCTGGAAGGCCCACGGCACCAAGCTCCTGCCTCTGACTGAGGGGTGAACTCCGATCTCTGACCCTTAACCCCGAGGATCCATAGACCAGTACGCCCAGTGTGTTCTTTCCTTCCCGGCGGGCGGGCGGCAGATGGCGCATGCGCCCTGGACAGAGAGGCAGAGGTGGGAACGGCCGGCAGAGGGCGCAGGCGCTCTTGGCCGGAGCCTCCCGGGCGGGGCAACCCTCGCTGGGAAAGAGTTGAGAGCAGAGGTCGGTGGGAAAGCGGGCTCCGCGCTGGGCAGCGGGCAGTGGGCGTGGCTAGGACGGGGGCGGGGCGAGGCGGTTCCGGAAGGAAGTGGTTCCGGGTCCCGCGGCCCAGCTGCGGGAGCTGTGGTGCGGCTCCTGTGTGAGGCGGCGGCCGTGTGAGGGGCGAGGCCTGAGGGTTCGGCGGCGGCGGCGGCGGCGGCGGCGGCGGCTGCGGGAACTTCTCGGTCGGGTGAGCGGCCCTGGGGGGCGGGCGGCGCGAGGAGGTCCCGGCCTGCGGGGAGGGCGTGTCCGTCGCATGGGAGGGGCGGTTCTTGGGTGGCGGGTGGGGCGGCGGGGAGGATGCGGAGGCCCAGCTCGGGATCTCGGGGGACTGCTCCCCTGCCCCTGCCTCTGGCCACCGGACCGGTGCCTTATTTTAGACGTGGCGACCCGGGCACCTGCTGCCAAGGCTCCCGATCCTCGCCCATTGTCCGCAGGCTTCTGTCCCCGGCGATTTGGAGCGTCTGTCATGGAGCCGGGGGGAGGGCGGGGCGGTGTCCAGGGACGGTGCCCTTTTCCCAGAGGCGGCTCTGGACGCATCGCCTGCGGGACCCGAGCCGAGGAGCCCCCGCTTTGTCCTTCTCCGGAGGTTCTCCTGCCGCGCAGCGGCATCTTCTCCGGTAACGTCCAGAATGAGTAGTGAAGGCTGCTCTTTATCCTGCATTGTAAAGTAAAACTTGTCTTTTTAGAAACGTATACTGAAAATTGGCGCATCTCCTGTGCTTCTTTAGGGTGTATTAGGAAACTGGGCCGGCCACTGTCAGGATTGTCCTGTCGGTAGGTCGGGAGGGAAAGAAACGTGAGAGAAACTTATCCTCCCAAATATTTTCCTGCCGAGGTGCTTTTCGAGCTGCCTCTTAGGTGACTGCTTTTCTTTTCTGGAATAAAGTAAAAACTACAGGTAGAAATCAGGAAAGTCTCTCATACTTCTGGCCAGGCAACCTTTTTAACGTTTTTCTGTATGCGAACTGGTACGAATGAAAGACTGGAATTTGAAAAGAAAAGGTTTTGATGTGGATTCATGGTGAGTGCTTTATTTTTCAATGGTGTTTTAATGATAACGGTATAGAATGCTTTATTTTTTCATGTGGTATTTTTTAAAATGGCTGCTAAAATGTTCATTTGAAAGCCCTGCCCTTGCACACCCTCCCCAGAAGCCTTTAAAATGTCTGATTAGAAACATTTAATCATATTTATATACAAAATTTCTAAAATATGCAAAACCACGGTGAAGAAGGTGCACTCTTTAACCATTCAAGTATCCACTGTGAATATAGGTACACTGAGGATGCCCCTCCAGTCTTTTTCCATGCAGAGACGAATGCATGAATTTTTCTAAAGTGGATTCTTTTTGGTAACTGTTTTTCTTTTCCTGGCTACGTAGCATGCCATTATTTGGCTGCAGTAATTTATTTAGTCGGTTTTTTTATTCTCAGTTTTTCACTACTTAAACACATTGTTGGTGAATTGTAAAACCTGCACGTCCGTGATTACTTCCTTAGTGTACATTCCTAGATGATAGAATTGTTGGGTTTTTTAATGTGAATTTCCCTCTGGAAAGGATGTGCTATTTTGCACTCCCACCAACAATCTGTGAGTGTCCTTTTCCCCACCCTAGCAAAAGGCAACATTTAAAGGATTTCTATAAGAACACTTTGGGGCCACTTATATTCTTCTCCAACCAAGTACAGGTATCCTTCTCTGGCTATCACCTCTTTTTTTTTTCCTTCTTATTTGTTGATGGCAATTTGGTTTCTCATCTTCTATTTCACCTTTACCAGTTTAGTAAAGAAGGGTTATCTAAGTGGGGCAAAGGCATTATAAAGTGAACAGATTTGAAGTCAGGGCTTCCTTGAATTCCAGTATATCTGATTACCTTGAACATGTCACTTACCTTTTCTAAGGGACTATTTCCTCAACTCTGAATTAGAGATTATAGTGCCTTTGCCTTACCTTTCTTACAGGGTGATTTTAAGGGTCAAATGAGACATTTATGGAGAGTATATTTAAACATACTTTGTCTCATTGCTAATTATTGCCATCTTGTAAAAATTTCAGAGCACATAAGCATCTTGATTTTTTAATGTAAATTTCTGAATTCAGAAAGCTGTTCTGGGCTTCCCTGGTGGCGCAGTGGTTGAGAGTCTGCCTGCCGATGCAGGGGACACGGGTTCGTGCCCCGGTCCGGGAAGATCCCACGTGCCGCGGAGTGGCTGGGCCCGTGAGCCATGGCCGCTGAGCCTGCGCGTCCGGAGCCTGTGCTCCGCAACGGGAGAGGCCACAACAGTGAGAGTCCCGCGTACCACACACACAAAAAAAGCTGTTCTGTGATACCCTTTGCCCCCACTCACCCCTTAAATTTGAAGTATTATAATGCTGCCCTAGATTATATTGAAAATGATATCAGAGTTATGAAATTAGGTGAATGAATGAATCCACACATGTTGAAGGAGAAAATATTTAAAGGCACTATATATAAAGCTGAGGGGGACAGATAAAAAGCTAAATAAAACACAATCCTTGGGATCATGATAAATAAAACATAGTCTTTGTGCCCTACAGGCTACAGAATATCCAGGCAGCTAGGGAGCATAAAAGCTGCTTTCCAAATTTAGATGGCAATTTTAGATGTGTTGCAGGATGTCAACTATTCTCAAGTGTGCTAAAGTCCAATTCTGCTGACCGAGCATCTACGCAAATGACCAGGCAGTCTCTTCAGAGTCATCTTTATGAAGGTAGGAGTTGCAAGGTGGGGAAGTGTTAGTATTGGAGTCTGAGAACCTGGATGCTGATTTTACGTCTTTCTCTTGGGGCAGGTTGGTTAACTTTTATGAGGATTGGTCTCTTCACCTGTGAAATGGAGGTAATTCCAGCTTCCTCAAAGGCTTCTGAGGATTAAAGGCTTGAGATAGTGTTTGCAAAACACTTAGTGAACTAGGAAGTACTGATACTCATGTGATCCTTCTTAGCTAGTGAAGACTGAGCTTCTCTAGTGAAGAAACTAGGACTCTTCCAACTTTGTGTGGCTTGCCTCTAGCAGTCACGGGCACTCAGCAATGTTTGCCAAATTAACATAAAATGTGACCGCTGATAAAAATTCAGTCTGGACCTTTGAAGAAGGTAATATGTAAATGTGGAATATTGGGAGAGGTTGACTACATTATTTGGAGTTGATATTAGGAATCAAAGGAAACATTGAACTAATTGGACCTAGACTCATTCCTACTATGACTGTCATTCTACATTATGTCCCCAATGCCATGCACATAGTCTCTCCTTAACAACATTAAACCTGCTCAAGTTGCTCCCATTTCAAAACCTCTTCCCTAGACCCCTGTCACCCAGCTGCAACCCAGTTTCTCTCCTCCCATGCCAGACAAACTTGTTAGAAGGCGTTGGTATTAATTGGCTTTCTCAGTTTCCTTACCTTCCACTTAGTCCTCAAGCCATGTATTAACACTTTTCATTTCTTTTATTGGGTCTCTATGCAGCTGTTGCCATAAAAGTCTTCTATTTTTTTTTTTTTTTTTTTTTTTTGCGGTATGCGGGCCTCTCACTGCTGTGGCTTCTCCCGTTGTGGAGCACAGGCTCCGGACGCGCAGGCTCAGCGGCCATGGCTCAGGGGCCCAGCCGCTCCGCGGCATGTGGGATCTTCCTGGACCGGGGCACGAACCCATGTCCCCTGCATCGGCAGGCGGACTCTCAACCACTGCGCCACCAGGGAAGCCCAAAAGTCTCCTTTCTTGAAACATCCTTCTATGCTCTGGGGTTCCCTCCTTCCTCAGAGGATGTTCTTTCTCAGTCTTCTTGGCTGGTTCATCTCCTTGAAAGGTTGATGTTTCTGTAGGCTTGATCCTTCTAGTGATACACCAGCTCTGGAATAATTTATAGAGCATTGAGGCAATCTGATGTTTGAAGGTTTGGTAGAATTCCCCTGTGAAACGATCTGGGCCTGATGCTTTTTTATGGGATATTTCCTTAATAACTTTCTCTGTTTCTTTTATGGAAGTTGGTCCGTTTAAGCTTTTTAATGCAGTCAGTTTTAGTAATCTCTATTTTTCTAACAAATTATCCCTTACATCTGGGCTTTTAAATTTATTGGATATAATCTCTTACGATTCAAAATTTTTCTTCTATTTCAGTGGTTATTTCCCCTTTGCTCTTTCTTATTTTGTGTACTTGTGCTTTCTCTCTTTTTTCCTAGGCAAGTAATATAAGTTATTTAGTGGTTTATCCATTTTAATTTTTCCAAAAACTACAGAATTTTGAATTATTACTTAGATCTAGTTTTCTATTCTCTTCCTCTACTTTTGTTTTTATTGTTTCCTTCCTTGTGCTTTGTTATTTTTTAGTTTCTTTTTTTTTAACCTTGGAAATAAATTTATTTACTTTTATTCTTTCATTTTTATTGATAAATATGTTTAGTGCAATGAATTTTCCTTTGATCACTGCTTTAAATGCATCCCATAGAATCTGCTATGTAGTGCTTTTATTGTCATTATTTCTTTAAAAATTTACCTTAGAGTACCCAGGAGTTGTTTAATAAGAGGTTTTAAAATTTCTAGGTGGAATTTCTCTTTTTTGTTTTTATTAGTAGATTCTAGTTTTATTGCATTATGATCAGAGAGTATTGCTTGTAATAGTTCTATTATGTGGAGGTTACTGATGTTTTCTTTGTGACCTAATATATGGTTATTTTTGGTGATGTGGTGTGGGCACTTCAGAAGAGTATTCTCTAGTATCAGAGTGTAGAGTTTGATAAATATCCTTAAGATTTACCCTGTTGATTATGCTGTTTAGATCTTCTATCTCATTTTTGGCTTACCTAATCTGTCTAATATACCACTAAAAGTGGTATATGAAAGTCTCCTATTATTAGTGTTTCTATCTGTGTCTCCTTGCATCTGTTGTAGTTTTTGCTTCATAAAGGTGGTTGCACTGTTATATTCATGTAAATATGTGTATTTTTATTTGTTCTCTCTTCATCGAGGATTGTGGCTTTTAGCATTAAAAAGTGTCTTTCTTTGGCATGATGAATGCTTTGGGGCTTGAACTGTGCTTTTGCCTGATTCTAGGTTTGCCACCCCTGCTCTCTGTTTCCATTCGCCTTGTATAATTTGGCCATCGTTTTATTTTTAACTTTTCACAATCACTTTGTTCTAGATATGTTTTTTATACAACTCCTTGTTTTGTGAGCCAAATTGTACCTGTTTATTTTAGTAGATGAGTTAATAAGCCCACCACATTTATTGTTAGGACTGATATATTTGGTCTATCGTAATATTTTATAATCATGTGTATTTTGTTATATTTGCTATTTCTTTTTGCTATGAGGTGTAGTTTTTGCTCTTTTATTTTAAAAAGAGGAAGGTTTTTATTCTTGTTCTAATGGTTAACCTTTGTACTTACACCTTTTAAAATGCCCTTACTCCCCTGTTTATTTAGCCTGTTCTGTGTGTGAGAGAAATACATTTCATCCATGAAATCAAAGTAGACTAATGGTAGGCAACAGTGGGGTTCTGTATCCACTTCCAGCTCCTCACTACTGAGGAACTGTGACAGCATCCAGCCACTGTGGCTGGGAGAATAAGTCATGCCCTGCTCTCCTGAGGTCTGGCTTCCTCTGAACTGCTGATCGCCCTCTTGTTCTGTGGGCTCTAACTTGGTCCCGTACTGTGCTGCCAGTGTGGCGTCTTTGTTGTAAGGGCTTTCCTGGGCAATTCTTTGCATTTGTAAATGCTGAACTCACATTTAGTATGGGATCTCTGTCAGTTGATTTTTCTTTTTTTTGGTAACAGCTTTACTGAGATATAATTAACATACCACACAATTTACCCATTTAAAAGTCTACAATTCAGTGTTTTTTTAGTATATTCACAGAGTTGTGTAACCATCATCACAGTCTAGTTTTAGAACATATTCATCCCACCAAAAAGAAACCCTGTGCCCACTCCCCCCAATGCCCCCCTCCCCCCACCGCACCTAGGCAACCACCAATCTACTTTCTGTCTCTATGGATTTGCCTATTCTGGACGTTTCATATAAAGCAATCATACAATATGTGGTCTTTTGCAACTAGCCTCTTTCCCTTAGCATAATGATTTCAAGGTTCATCCCTGTTTGACTGTGTGTCAGTACTTCATTCCTTTTTATGGCCAGATAATATTCCATTGTACAGGGATACTACATTTTGTTTATTCATTCATCTCTCAATGAACATTTGAGTTGTTTCTACATTTTGGCTCTTGTGAATAATGCTGTTATGAGCATTTGTGTACAAGTTTTTATGCAGACATATATTTTTATTTCTTTTGGGTATATACCTAGGATTTGAATTGCTGGGTCATATGGTAACTCTATGTTTAATTTTTTAAGGAACTGCCAGACTGTTTTCCAAAGTGGCTGCATCATTTCTTTTGAGTTTATTTTCCCCTGGGCACCTTGTAATTTATTCTTCACTTCTGAGAAAATTTAGTCTTTTTCTCCCATTCTTTCCCCTTAGTTTGATTATTTTTTTTTCTGTCATATCACTATGTTTTTTTGGTATGTTTCTGTTCTTAGTTTTTAAATTTCTGATTCAAGGTGCGTTTTTTAAAATATATATTCCTAAATGCTTTTGGATATATTTAATTCTGTTTAGAGTATACAGTTAGAGTTTTCTTCTGCTTCATGTTTTTTTGGGGGGAGGAATTTTCCTCAGTTGAGAAATTCTCTTTTTCCACTTTCTTGTAAACACATGGGGATCATCAGACTAAAATTTTTGCAAATCTAATGAGTATGAAATGGTATCTCTTCGTTTTAATTTTATCTTCCTAGTAGGTAGTGTTGAATATCTTTTTGTATGTTTATTGGACAGTTATGTTTCCTCTTTGTTGAAAACTCTAAGGATAGAGTTGCCATTTATTGAGGTGGAACAGACCTTGGGAGGAGCAGATTTCGGAGGAAGGTCAGGAGTTTGCTCTTGGACATGTTTACAGCATCCAATAGGCTTTTGGATGTGGAAGAGTGCAACACAGAGGATAGGTGAGGGCTGGAGATGTCAATTTGGGGGTTGTTAGTATATAGAGAGTATTTAAAGCCATGAGACTGAAGGAAAGTGCAGACTGGGAAGAGAGTGTAGACAATGAGACTCAAAGACTGAAGTCACTATTTAGAGGAAGACTGTGTTCACTATTTAGGGGTCAGGCTGCTGAGGGGGGAGGTGAGGAAAAACCAGCAAAGGAGACAGAAAGCATTGTTAGGGGTAGGAGGAAAACCAGGAAAGTGTAGTATTCTGGAATCCAAGTGAAGAAAATGTTTCTGGGAGGAAGGTGTGATTGACCATCAAGTGCTGCTGGTAGATCCAGGAGAAGGAGGGAAAATAGCCATTGGATTTAGTAACATGGATTTCGTTAGTGATCTTGACTGGAGCAGTTTGGTGGAGTGGAAAGCTAGATTGGTGAGGGGCCAAGTAGAATGGGGGGAGAAGAATGGGAGAGAATGACTGTGGTAAACAGTCAGCCCTCTGAGGAATTTGGTTGTAAATGGAGAGAGAGGTAGTAGGGTGATGGGAGGGACCTAATGGAGAGGGGGAAGTGATGTCATGGAGGAGGAGAATTGCTTTCAGCTGGGTGAGCGTATGTGTCCAGTGCAGTCCTGGTTGGGGTGGCCTTTTTTGACACCAGCATCCCCTTCAGCATCCTCCTGGGAGTGGATGCCCCTGCTGTCCATTCATCTTTCCATGTCCAAGGGCACACAAATTCACTCACTGCCCCTACACAGTTCACTCCAAAGGAGCAGTATAAATGAATTTCTCTTTTGTAATTGGCATCTCCTTCGCCCCAGTCACAAACGCTGCTGGTGTTTCTGCCTTTTCTTTTTTTT